TGAGAACTACTTGTGAACTATGACCAGTTAATAAAGAATAACTGCTAATCTGCTAATCACAACAGTAACGTCTTAAAAGTGAACAATTGGGTTCTTTGTGGAAACTAATTTATGAATTTCCAAATAAGTAAATAAGTCGGCTATATTTTAAAATTGTGACTACTACTCTTACCAAAGGATGGATGTTCAAATTTAAACTGAATAATAATGTCAGTTCAGTATCAATGTATCCCACTCCAAAAGACCTACTGGTAAAATATCACTAGTGCTTCACACAAATGTATGACTGTACAGTATGTCAGATATAAAATATGTTAAGTAACTTGAGTAATTACTGAGGGGTTAACGTGTTTTTTACTTTAAAATAATGGTCCAGATCACTAGTAGTTCCTGAGTAGCACTTTAGCTTTAAAGTGAAAAATACATTAGCCTCTCACTAATTACTCAAGCGTTACCTTGTCGGCCTGCAGGAACTACTATTATTTTAAAGTGAAAAACACCTTAACCACTCAGCAATTACTAAGTAATTTAACATATTTTAAATCTGACACATACATTTGTGTGAGGCACTAGTGATATTTTACCAGACACTGTAATCTGGAATATGCGGTTTTGTGCTTAACACAATATAAATGCAGCCGATGCCTTCATTAAGGATGTGAATAGTTTTTGTCAAGAGAACATCATTATTTATAATCAAGAAAAGTCCTCCCCAGCCTACTGTCACTAAAGGTACAGACATACTGAACTGACACAAACTAGAGCTCATAATTGGGAACTAATTCAATCACTTCCTAATTATTAACATTTTTAAATGAATTATTTTTATTATTATTTTATGTTTTTGTTTGAAATAAACAGAGAACATCCATCCTTTGGTAAGAGTAGTAGTCACAATTTCAACCTGTAGCCCACTTATTTGGGGGATATCATATTCATAAATTAGTTTCCACAAATAACCCAATTGTTCACTTTTAAGACGTTACTGTTGTGATTAGTAATTAATTGGTTAATCTTCATTAACTGGTCATAGTTCGCAAAAAGTTCTCAATGAGGATATTTTTATTTAATAATTATCAAATATCTAATAAGGAACTACCTTTATCCTAAATTTGCTACTTACTGCTTAGTTAATCTCACTTCTCGATTAGTTAATAGTATTAAGTTAAGTGTTAATGTAGCACTACCTATTACTTCCTGCATAGTTACTTGTTAACAACAGACCATTATTCTAAAGTGTTACCGAAGAGTTTAAGAATGCAGAAATGACAAAGATTTTTCAGTGGTGCTTTTTGTGGTGGTATTTTTTTTTTCTGTGCTTTATATAAACAGTCTGCTGTATACCTCAGTTTTTAATGTAATGGTTGTGTATTAAAGCTGATGTGTGAGGCTTCAAGAACAGATACCACAAATCCACTGCTAGTGCAAATTGTTATTAGTGCATTAAGACAAAATCTTGCAATCAACAAATTTATTTAAACAAATGAACATAATGAATCGCTCATGCCCTTCTGTTGTCCTTAACTCAGTATTTCTGATTTCTTGAATTTTATAGTGCCTCCTGCTGGGCTCATCCACACTCTTCGGAGATACTGGAAACATGGCACAGTAAGAGACAGTATTTAAAATACTGCGCTTTTAAAGAAATACTTCACCCAAAAATAACAACTCTGTCAATATTTACTCACTCTAAAGACATTTAAAACCTGTATGACTTTATTTATTCTGTGGACTACAAAACTAATAGTGATGGAAACTGTCCAGGTTACTCTTTTCATGCAGTTACAATGAACAAGTGTTAAACCTTTCATAGCAAGGTATAAGTAGTTCAAGTACTTCAAGATGTACATTTCAGCCTGTCTCTTGCATAAAGCTACTGTATGGCTTCAGAAGACTTGAAATATATTGTATTGTATCATCCGCTTTCATATACTTTTATGGTGCTTTTTATTATTTAAGCTTGAAAACTTCAGTATATCATCGAGAAAAAAAAAGTGACCAGCACAATTAAATACTATGGCAAAGTAGTTCCTCACTGTGCAATACCATTTAATATAAACCTACTAACAACTAATTCCATCTTTAATTTAAAGTCAACACTTAGTTATATGTGCATTTTAAAGGGGTCATATGATGTTGCTAAAAAGAACATTATTTTGTGTATTTGGTGTAATGAAATGTGTTTATGCGGTTAAAGGTTAAAAAACACATTATTTTCCACATACTGTACATTATTGTTTCTCCTCTATGCTCCGCCTTTCTGAAAGATTTTTACAAAGCTCATCGGTCTGAAAAGCAAGGTGTGCTGTGATTGGCCAGCTATCCAGTGTGTTATGATTGGCCGAATACCTCAAGCGTGTGACGGAAATGTTACGCCCCTCACCATATTGTGATGCCTGCGGCAACCACATGTGACGACCCCGGGCTGGACTCCGCTTCATCCACGGTGAAAGCCGATCTGGCGATCAACAGCGCCAAGTTGAAGTATTTCCTCAGTGACCAGCACGGATCAGCTCTAGACATGACGAAGCAGATATCGTCCTACGACAACAATACTACAGCGAGAATAAAAGTTACGCCTTCTTTCTTTGCGTGAACATTTGGGCGGCGTTATGCAAATCTTCCCACATCGTGACGTAGATATGTGGGGCGTGTTAGAACGAGATAAAGAATATCTCTTTGGATTTGAGACTTTAGTCTTTGCAACTTTTACAGATCTTCTTTATGCACCAAGAGCTTGTAACACTTCAAAGAGAAAGGAAAAATTTAAATCGCATCATATGACCCCTTTAAATGTTTATGTAGCTTTGAATATCTTAGAACCATTATTAGAACCATTTTTTTGTTATAAACTTTATGAAGTTGTGTTCTAACTCTTTCAGGATTCAGAAAAAAACCTCAACTATGTCCCTAACTATATCATCATGCTCCCGTGACACATCCTCCTCCTCCTCCTCTTCATCATCATCATCATCCTCTGCTACAATACAGCAGAGGCACTCAAGTTTAGTACAGCCTGTCTGCATTAGTCCTCAAATGGTATGATCAAAAATACATAACATGAATAAGTCTTTCATTAAGACCTGAAATGTATTGCAACATAAAATTCTGCCTTCAAATCACAAACCTTTTTTTTTCTCACAAAGCTACATGCATATACACACTCCACATTTCAGTTAATTTGATTTATGTTGCTCAACTATTGAGCAGCTGTCATACTGTTATAATGGAGCTAAAAGAAGTAGTATGTTGATCTGCCAGTCATGGGTTTCTGATGTGGAGAACTCATGCAGATGCATAATGAAATGATGCACTTAATAGTTAATGACCAAACGGATCAGTTTTGCTATTGTGCTATTCATGTTTTTATAAAAGTTTACAATGATGTAACAGATGATACAATGAAATAAATCTTTTTGATCAGGTTAGATACTGATTATTAATCATTAAAACCCCTTTCTTGTCCTGGTCACTCACTCTCAGAAAAAAAGGTACAAAAGCTGTCACTGGGGCGGTACCTTTCCAAAATGTTCTAAAATGTACCATTTAGGTGCCAATATGAACACTTAGGTAAAATACGTAGCTTTAAGGAACTAAAATGCACGCTTTAGGGGAAAATAAAGTATACAATTGTGTACATTTTGAAAGGGTACCGCCCCAGAGACAGCTTTTGTACCTTCTTTTTTCTTTTTCTGAAAGTGTACTTAATCAGCTCAACTGTGTCTTCATCTGACTGTGCAAGTATGAAATACAGTAGATAATTTTTTTAACCACATTCAAGCATTAAACTTGATGTGATGCGTGGTTTTTAAAAAGTGATAAAGCAATCTCACACACATCCACCGTTTTTACTCTTTTGTCGTTTTACGGCCACTTCCACCAAACAGTCAAAAAAGAACTCCCTTGCCATTGGTCAATTTTTCGCAGGCAAGTTCACTACTGTAAATTGATTTACAGTAGTGAGGAAATATAGTAGTGACCGTATATTTTCCCATAATACTTTGCTGTTTACTGTCAAATACTGTATACACATTTTACAGTATCTTACTGTACATATTACAGTAAAATACTGTTCAAATGACAAAAATCAGTTACAGTGTGAAGCACAGTGAGTTGTGGGCTGTTATGTGTATGCTACTTCCAGCCTAAACACACATTGTTGATCTGTGTTTTTTTTCAGGTTCAGAACACAAACCAGGGTTCAGGGAATCCCGGAGTGTCTCCAACTTTTGTCAAGGTAATACAATAATAGCATACTGTATACCTTTATTGACTGGATCAGTATCAGGTTGTGATTTGGCATGCTGTGAGCTGTTACTGGTGTGTCTTCAGTGTCTTCATGACGTGAGTACAGTGAAGGGGCAGCTGGTGGTCCTGGAGTGCAGGATCAGAGGAACTCCTCCGCTGCAGATCTCCTGGTTCAGAGAGAACGAGCAGATCATCGACTCGGCAGACTTCCGGATTCTTAGAAAGAGTGAGTGAGAGCTGGACACAACTCAGACCGATTACAGCATTATTGTACACCTTCTCTGTAGTCCATATGACACGTGCGTTATATACCATGTCTTCTGAACCCATACGATAGCTTTGATCAAAACTGAAGTTGTTTCTTTTGCATTCAGAATTCAAAATAGCAAAAAAAAAAGATGTTTGGCATCATTGACATCTATGAGCTATTTTTAACCAGAAAACAGAATGTGCAAAAAAAAAACATTTTAAAACAGCACAAAGTTGTAGATTTTCAAGACATTTTATTTGAGTGTGAACTTTTCCTTTAAAAACAATACACTTAAAAAGACCATCTTGCTAGTTTCATTACAAACAAATAAACTAAAACGGCTTCTTACTGTATTTTTGTCCTTGTCAGAGGCAAGTTCAGCTTCTGTTCCTGGTGAGTACACATTTATCTCAAAGGAAGGTGCATGAAGGGATTGGAATTATTCTTGTTTTGACAGATAAACAAACATAGTTGTCAAATATTAGGCTTTTAACCCTTCTTTGTTTTATTATAGAGGAATTGTGCACCCTCGTGATCACAGAGGCGTATCCAGAAGATTCTGGAATATTTAAATGCACAGCATTAAATCAGTTTGGAACAGTAACATGCAGTGCTATTCTTGAAGTATATACAGGTACCTTTCTTGTTTGATTTTAGGCATGCTTAAACGGCACAAACAAATCTAAATCAATTTATGCATATCTTAAGTTATTAATTTTACATACATTTTATCATAACATAAGGAATAAAGTGCACAAAAAATAAAAACATGAAGTTTAATTTGATAATACTTTCCACCTCTAATAATAATGAAATACTATGTATTGTAATACAGAAAAACAAGGTAGCATATTCCTACAAATGAATTGATCTATATGTATATATTTGATCTAAAGTTTTTGCTGTCACCATTTTGCAAACAAATATCAGAGTAAGGGAAAGAAAAATAATACAATCAATGTTTAATGATATAATTTTGTTATTTCAAGACCTAGAGGAGGTTCTGGGAGAGGAGGATGAGCCTTCCTCTCTAAGCTCAGCTGGACTAGAGCCGGATGACCAGCCCTTTTTACTACAAGACACACTAATTCCTCCTCCAGAATGGCCTAACAGCTCTGAGGAAGAGACTGCTGCCCCTGTAGCATGGTAGGACATTAATCAGCATTTTAGGCATTGCCAAAATGTTAAGATGTTGAAGTCAACATGCAATCCAAAGATCAGAGTTAAAATCGATTGGATGGAATTCAAAAATAGCACATATAGGAAAGTAGAGTAATGCTACAAATACATCTGTAAAAAAAAGAATATATACAGTATATATATATATATGAGGCTGTCCAAGTGCAGATGATGACTTTGCCTGGTGCCTTGCTGTGAGACAGAAAGAACAGGAAGCCAAGAACGCCAGAATAAAAAAACTAAGCTGCATGTGTGCACAGCCATGCACTTTTAATGTCGAATCCATGCAAAAAAAGTGCTGCACAAAGGGCAATTAGAAGCCAATTAATTGTATTCAAATCAATCTCTGTTGGAATACTTTTATGGTTCCTTACAAGAGAGCTCAATAGGAGAGGCAATGCAAACTTGAAGAATAAAAAAAGTCATCATGTTTTAAAGAAGAGTGGCTTGATCAAGTGATAGAAACAACAGATTTTGCACAGCACAGTAACAACTGTTTTGTTTGTGTGTGTGTATTTCATGGATGTTTATGACTATAAACTGTATTTATTATTAGTATTATTTAATAATGATTAAACTCTGTTTAAATGTATTATTTTGCTTAGATCATATTATATTAGCTATATTAACATTTATTAATAAAAGTTCGGAAATTTCAAGTCAAAAGTCAAATTTAATTATGGAACAGATGTGCTTAAATGATTAAATTATGTTATACAATGGCTTAATACAATAGTTAAATTATGTTATACAATGGCACTAAAACACAAAGAACAAACAACTGTTAACAAGGTATAAGGAAAAGGAAATAGGGCCCAATACAGGACCTTGAGGTGTCTCACAGATAATGGGTGTAGACGAATAGGAGCTGTTCCATCTTATAACAGTTCTGTTCTGTCTGTCAATACATAGTAGAAAGAGAGAGTCAGAGAGAGTGACAAGATAAAAATGATCCAGCAATGTCTAAAGATGTCTAAAGGTAAAGAACCATGTAAATACAACTAATATTTGGGTAGACAGATACCTCTGGTAAACTTGGCAACCACTGGATGCTGTAGGAGATAAATCTGTACCTTTAGCCAAAATTGTATTACAGCGAACTAGAGTTGTAGTGTCACTGACTGATCTGAGCTCATAAAAGTAAGCTATTTCAGGTTGTTGAATACCTGGCTTCTTTGTCAAAGATTCCTGCTTTCTTTTTGTAGTCAGTAGCTTCAAGCAGGTGCCCTCTATTTCCACATATGACTGGCAACAAGCAAAACTATCATGTGGGCGATTGACAGCTGGAGAGCATGCCATCTTCAGCCCTCACAAGAATAAATCAAGTTAACAGATTTATTGACTTTTACTCAGATGTTCTCATTGTTCTATGTCTATACATTGTCCGTGGGTTGAATGGGTGGGTCCTCAAGAATGGTGGGGGCCTGAGTCTACTGCTCATGACTCGCATAGTTTTCTATAGATAAACAGCCCAACAGTATCTCATTGAGTGAACAGATGCCAGAGAATCGCTCTACACCTTCAACCTTTCAGACCATTTTTACATAGAGTTGATATTACTGGCCAGAAAAAGCATTTCAAAGAGCAGGTAAGCACAAGATTTGTAATCTGTATCATAATCTTTTACACTTTATTGCAATCAGAATGACTTCTTCTTGAAAATCAATACATCTGTTCTAGCAACTCTAGAAATGTTGATCTATTTAATCATTTTATTAATTCACAATCAGTCCTTTCAACTTTTTTGTTCAGTAGGTAAATTAAAATGTGTTCTTTGCTTAATAAAAGTCTGTATTCTGTACGTTTGACCTCTGTAGGTCCTACAGTATGACTTAGCTTTTTCACCCTTCACTCAATGCTGTTTGTTTGTGTTTGTAGAGGATGCACTGTTGGCTTTTAAACTATTTAATATGTTATGTTAATCATCTGGTCCTGGTGTTGTGAAAAAGAAATGTATTTTTCAGTCTGTACAAGCCTCAACATTTCATTTAAACCTGCAAATAATCAAACTTTTATGATTTTTAGGACAGCATGAGTGCTGCTGTCATTAAGCTGAAAGGGACATGTCAGATATTAAGTTATTCTCAAATTCATGTTCATATTCAAGTTATTATGCTAGTAATTTCATTTATAAATATATAAAAAATATGTTCATTTTGGGCGCTTACCAGTGTATGTGCTAACATTATCAACAGTAACCACAATTAAACACTTTCTGACCGTAGCTGCTGATCTGAATTGCATAACAACATTTTGTCACATTCTTGTTTTATTTCATAAATATTTTGCTCACATATTAACATATTTATATCCTGTTTAAATATAAAATAATATCAATATACACTTGTTTTTATATTGAGCAGTTATTTTACCATCACACACATTCCTTGTTATACATAACTGAACTGTTACTGAGAAGTGAATGACATTTAGCGAGCTTAGGTCTTTATTCACAATGACCTCCAAACAGGGTAACTGAGTGCCAGTGTCGCTGTAAATGAACTGCACCTGCTACGTCCATCAGTCGTGCCTCATGACACTTTTTTTAGCCACATGGCTTTCTCACAGAAACACACCAGCACTATACAACGTTATGAACCCCTGCCATGTTCATTAAAGGGTAAAAAAAAAGATTTTTGGCACGTAGAATGTGTTTACAAATGATAAATGTGTGTTTTGTAGTTATTTCTTTTTTGGGTTAAGAATCGTTTCAGGGATTTAAGATAGCTCTCAGTTTGCTTGTGTGTATGGTGCTATACATATGATCATAGGTCATATACATAAGAGGTGCATGTAGACAAAGACAAACATACTTTAGTGTCTTTTGAAGTAGAAAGATAAACGTACTAGTGTTCTAACTGCTGTGTTATTTAGCCTTGTTCCCTCTCCTTGAGGCATTGAGTTATTGAGAGCAGCCATCAATCAAGCTTACAATAACATTGCTCTGTTTGTTTGAACAGCCTAACCAGCCTGACACAGCAACACTAAGTCAACGGCATGAGTTTGGGGCAGGGCTAAGTCTTTGACTGACTGATGGGGGGGTGTTCAGGACACCTGTTTAAATCAGTCATTAAGTTTTGCAGATTTTATTTATTTTTTTACTTTTAAACAAGTCTCTCAAGCCAACATCTAGGGCCAGATTTTAACAGCTTGCACCAGTGCAAACCCTCTTTTGGCATTAAAAATCTACTGTCAGGATTCACTAAAGGCATGCAGCGGAACAAATAGTGATGCAAAGACATGGACATTTGTGGCTGACTTTGTTGCACCTGCCTTCACTACCGAGCTCCCAGGCCAAATGCATTTCCATACCTCAATCTCCTTATCCCCGGTGCTCCCCTAGATCACCCAGCCCAACACCAAAGGCCCAAGAACAGCCTCTGTCTCCTCCACCTCAGTCGCTGAATCACGCTCCTCCAACTGTCCCATGCCTGAAAACAACTGCTCCACCTCTACAGCCCCCACCTGTGTCTCACATGAGCTACACATCCAACACGTGAGTGTGTTATCGCTGAAACGTGTCTTGAACAATGATGTGTATGGTTATATCCTCCTACAGAAAAATGAATGAGATATTTTTAATATCAATGAGATTTTTACTTAATCTAAAAATATAACTAAAATACTAATGTCCCCAGAGCTTAAAAGGGTATAGTTCACCAAAACAATTTAATTTCTTGACTGCAAGTGTAATATCCTTTTTTGAAACACATGTTAGCTTGAGTATAAATAAAGTGAAATATGTTTTTCCAACAGGGAGTCTCTTGTGGACACAGAGAGCAAACAGGGTTCTGCCAGTCAGGTGACTGAAGCTGCTGAGCTCTCCTCAATGAGCAAACTTGATCCTCCAGCAAAGGGGGTTAAAAACAGTGCCCCACATCCATTCCTTCCCACCAGCAAGCTGAGTAAACCAGTGGAGCCCAGAGGCAGTGCCATGAACGTGGCTGACCTGCCCACCTTCTCGCCATCGCTGTACCCCCCCAGTGCCTTTAATTATGAGCGCCCTCGCCATTTCATCCAGTCCCTACCCAGTTTCCACACACCCGACAATGAGATCAGCAAACCCAACAGCCTCAGTCCCCCAGCTTCAACTGCTGCACCATTAGTGAGTCCTCCTCAGCCTGGACCCACTCGAACATCAATGTGTTCAAGCATGACTTTGATTTCTAAACCACAGAGCTCTCCAAACAATGAGAAACTATCATCAGCAGCTTTCCTGTCATCTGTCCTGCCTTCACTACCGAGCTCCCAGGCCAAATGCATTTCCATACCTCAATCTCCTTATCCCCGGTGCTCCCCTAGATCACCCAGCCCAACACCAAAGGCCCAAGAACAGCCTCTGTCTCCTCCACCTCAGTCGCTGAATCACGCTCCTCCAACTGTCCCATGCCTGAAAACAACTGCTCCACCTCTACAGCCCCCACCTGTGTCTCACATGAGCTACACATCCAACACGTGAGTGTGTTATCGCTGAAACGTGTCTTGAACAATGATGTGTATGGTTATATCCTCCTACAGAAAAATGAATGAGATATGAGATATTTTTAATATCAATGAGATTTTTACTTAATCTAAAAATATAACTAAAATACTAATGTCCCCAGAGCTTAAAAGGGTATAGTTCACCAAAACAATTTAATTTTGTTGAAAATGTACTCACCCTCAGGCCATCCAAGATGTAGGTGAGTTTGTTTCTTCATCAGATTTGGAGAAATGTAGCATTGCATCACTTGGTCTGCAGTGAATGGGTGCCGTCAAAATGAGAGTCCAAACAGCTGATAAAAACATCACAATAATCCACACCACTCCAGTCCATCATTTAACATCTGGAGAAGACAAAAGCTGCGTGTTTGTATATTATGGATAGAGGACTCATATTTTAGCCGCAAAAAAATGGTTTGAAGTTAAAAACATTTTGAAGAATTTGTTTCTCAAATGAGAGTCCAAACAGCTGATAAAAACATCACAATAATCCACACCACTCCAGTCCATCATTTAACATCTGGAGAAGACAAAAGCTGTGTGTTTGTATATTATGGATAGAGGACTCATATTTTAGCCGCAAAAAATGGTTTGAAGTTAAAAACATTTTGAAGAATTTGTTTCTCAAAAACACACAGCTTTTGTCTTCTCCAGATGTTAACTGATGGACTGGAGTGCTGTGGATTACTTGTGGATTATTGTGATGTTTTTATCAGCTGTTTGGACTCTCATTCTGACGGCACCCATTCACTGCAGAGCATCCATTGCTGAGACACTGATGCAATGCTACATTTCTACAAATCTGATGAAGAAACAAACGCATCCTAATCTTGATAGACCTGAGGGTAATGTCATTTTCAGAAAATTATCATTTGTGGGTGAATTACTCCTTTAAAAGTCAAACAATTAAGTAATACAATTTTCCCATGGGCTTTTTTATAGCTTGCCAAAGCCAATCTTGAAGAAGACTGTTTCCCGACCAGCGTCTCGTGCCACAGATGTAGAGATTCAGGGCTCAAAAGATGCTCTTATCCAAGACCTTGAAAAGAAGCTACGGAACAAAGCTCCCCAACAAAGGAACATTCAGAAGATGTCATATGAGGAGCGGATGGCGAGAAGATTGTTGGGAGCAGATAATGCCGCCTCAGTATTTGATCTTGAAAATGCATTCATTTCCCAGCCTGCACAGGTATTGTTATTTTAAATTATTTGACGTTTAATGCAACTGCTGAATATCTTTTCAAAGCTTAATATTAGAGCTTGTTAAGAGGAAATACCATGTAGTGATCATGGTGATCGTGATTTGCGCATGTGCAAACAAGCTAGAATATCTACACTCCAAAAAATGCTGGGTTAAATACAACCAGTGCTGGTTAAAATAGGGACAAACCCAGCAATTGGGCTGTTTTGACCCAGCAATTGGGTTAAACGTTAACCCAACCTTCTAGGTAGGAACCCAACCACTGGGTCAAAACAACTGGGTTGTATTTAACCCAGCATTTTTTAGAGTGTATAGAGAATTAATGTTATACAATAGTATATCATACTTCAGCAATGCCACAAGTAAAACTAAAAACACCCTGGTACTCAAGAGTGTCAACTATGCTTTATTCCCATTTGTTACCGTCACTCTAGTTGTCTTCAACAGGAATATTCAAAGCCAGACCAAACAGATAAACAGTCTTTCCATGGGCCTAAAATAGCAGGAGTAAAATCCATGTGCTCTTCAGCTATCCTATTCATCATGATGCTATTATTATAATACCACCGCATGTGAATACACCAAGGCCTCAGTTCCTTTAGTTTGTCTATCTATCATGTTTTTTTTTATGTTATTCAAGCAAATGTTATGCACTATTCTAACAGCCAGGCTCTCCAGAAGGTCTCCAGCCTGGAGGAATATGGTAAATGTCATTTTGCAATAGGAGTATCAGTTTGGAGTTTGTCTCTGAAGTGCTTTCATCTTATTATTGTGCATGTACACCTAACACTTCTGACACTTTTTGGAGTTAATAAATGAACACTGGCTGACATTAGTGAATGTGTCAAACACTGAATGATTTTTCTGGCACAATCTAAGACAGACACATTGTACTTGTTGTAGCTGATTGTCTAATGCTCTGAGCCCTGCCTGTGTTTACTGTACGACTGCTGTTTGTCTGGATAAGCTTAGCTTTGATTATTGAGTTAGTTTGGTTGAATTCGGTTAATTACCACCTTTTCTTGCGCAGGTCCAGAAAGAATTGTCCCGGAGGGGACAGTGCAGAAGCATCAACCATCCAAGAGAAGTGTTTTGCTCCTCGATTTATACAAGTGCCGCAAGATCTTACTGTTGAAGAGGGACGATTCTGCAGGATTGATTTTAAGGCAGTTATCATTTATTGATATAAAACATCCTGTATGCATTTGTTTTACCACAACATATTACTCCAATGCTTCTGGCCTTCTTAAGATGAAATATCACACACACAGCAAAGTTAGGAGGAGTCTACAGTTGAACCGTTTTTTCTCTTTTTTTACAGTAATACAATAGTTAAATCTGTACAAACCAACATTTAGCTTTTTTAAAGTTTTGCTTTTCTTTCTTTTTTTTCTGCAGGTTGTAGGTTTGCCAACGCCAGATATTTCTTGGTATCTGGATGGGCAACTCATCCGACCTGATGATTACCATAAGATGCTGGTGTGTGAGAAAAGCGTCCACTCCTTCATTATTGAAGTCGTGACCATTCATCATGCAGGTGTATATGAATGTGTAGCGAAGAACCGTGCCGGAGAGAGCCACTTCTCTCTGCGACTGGATGTGATTGGTGAGCAGCTTTTTGTTGCCTGTATAATGTTGAGAATAAGAAGGTTGCAACATGACAAAATGAGAAAAAAAAATGAAAGGGCATAAATACTTTAACAAGGCAAGCTGTTTCCTGGCATATATTATATATATTATGATGATATGATGGATGTTTTGATCACTTTGATTGTGATTTGTTTTTTCACATGAATAATAAAAAATAACCACAGTTTTATCTAATGCAACAAAACTGCATATCTGAAGCTGCCATCATATGCCACCGCCACTAACAATATCAGCGGAGCTTGACGTTTTTGGAAGCTTCACAAGTTCAAAGCATTTTATTAAAGTCATCTCTGTTCAGGCTACTTTTGAACTGAGAGAGCAATCACATTTAAATGTGTATTTAGATGTAAAAAGACTTGAATTTGTAAATTCCTAATACAGGATATGGTGGGGTTGTTGATAGATTTGAGTGACCGTTGTTGCATTGTACATGGAGTCATGGATTTGGGGATGGTCAACTTTTTAACTAGGGATTTGAAACTAAATTTTTCATCAAGACTAGTAATGAGCAGATACAGTATTTTTATGTACTGTGGCCTCCTTTCCATCCTTCCTGCATGATGAGATCATTGTGAAACTGACTTTTGTTGGCTAAAGAGTCACAAGACACATATGTTGAGGACATTAAAATATACTGTTTAGGAATGATCCTTATGCGCTGTTCAAAAAAAACAAAGTCATATTTTGTGAAAAGTTTTTGTAACGCTTTAGATTACAACCCGCAAAGAACTATGTTAGTATACTGAATTTACCGTGTACGTTTCTGTAATTATAGTGTACCTATAAAGAACATACGTGTAGGTATAAGGGAACAATGTGCTACGTTTGGGTAATAAGGGGGTAACAACCAGATATGCAACCTGCAAAGAACTGCGTAAGTAAACTGAAGTTACAGTGTAACCTTTTTGTAATTATAGTGCACCTATTCAGTAACTCCGTGTAGGTATAAGGGAATAATATGCGAAGTTTGGGGAATAAAGGGGTAACAACCTGTAAAATTACAAATCATTTATACTGTAAGAATTTTGAAACTAAGAGGTGCTTATTCTAATATTACGTGGTATGTATGGCCTAAACAACAATCTTATGTTTGGGAATGATTTAGAAAGGCGATATATACTTTTTATAATTTTATATTGGCATTTTATTATAGGCGTATAGGTATTTTTTAACCATGGGGTACACATTCTATTATTAAAGGATGGACATGATGGAGATTACTGAACAACAAAACTGGACATCTAGTGAAATGAGTTAATGAGTTCATGCTATGATTTATAATTCACAAGTCTACTTACTTTATGAAAGCTTATTCATCAATTTCAGCAACTTCACACCAGCAACTTCTCAACACCACTATCACCAAATAACTTTGCACGATATACCATCAAGGTTCAATGCAGCTTAAAACAAGCTTACCTCTTTCCGGCTGTTCGCAGAAAAAATACATGATACATTTGTATTTCAGTGGATGTATACTGTGGTGTTTTTATAGCAACAAAAAAAATGTAGAGGGTTTAATTTGGCCATCGAGCAATTAAATTAAAATGAGTGCAATATTTTTCTCTGTAATTACTGTGCAAATATACACTTGTTCTGTGTTTAAGTCCAACTTGTTCCCCCATTGTTCCATGTAGTTACAGGGTAAATACAACATTTGCGGGCTGTAAATTAAAGTGGTGCTTTGTTCCCCCCTTGTTCCATGTAGTTACAGGGTAAATACAACATTTGCGGGCTGTAAATTAAAGTGGTGCTTTGTTCCCCCCTTGTTCCATGTAGTTACAGGGTAAATACAACATTTGCGGGCTGTAAATTAAAGTGGTGCTTTGTTCCCCCCTTGTTCCATGTAGTTACAGGGTAAATACAACATTTGCGGGCTGTAAATTAAAGTGGTGCTTTGTTCCCCCCTTGTTCCATGTAGTTACAGGGTAAATACAACATTTGCGGGCTGTAAATTAAAGTGGTGCTTTGTTCCCCCCTTGTTCCATGTAGTTACAGGGTAAATACAACATTTGCGGGCTGTAAATTAAAGTGGTGCTTTGTTCCCCCCTTGTTCCATGTAGTTACAGGGTAAATACAACATTTGCGGGCTGTAAATTAAAGTGGTGCTTTGTTCCCCCCTTGTTCCATGTAGTTACAGGGTAAGTGGCTACAACAAATTGCTCTGAAACGATTGTTTATACATTAGGTCATACATACATTCATTATATAGCAGGTAATGTATCAATAAACATGGTGGACTGTTTTATTTCATTCAAATATTGTTTGCAATTTACTATAGGCATTCTGCTGGGTTAAATTAACCCCAAATGGGTTTTAAAATTAAAATCACACACAATATGACAACAGTAACAACACAGGCAACAGATTAAAATTTATTACACCAGTTCAGAAAAAAAGGAAAGCAACTCCATACTTATACAGATTATACATTTAAACCAAACTCTTTTGAAAAGCTTGTTTAAGAATATATTTTGTTCAATTTAAGTTTTTCACCCACTGACTTAATGACTAATTGATTAAATAGTAATGACTATTTAAATTATTATGGCCAAACCATCACGCCAATAAACACAGTAATAAACACTGAAAGTCAAGATTAAACTGTGTATTATAGTGACCTGACAGGATTTTACAATCTTTGATTTACCGTTTTGATGCACGTCCTCAAGCACCATTTTGACTAATATATTTCAGTTCCGGGTTTTACCGCTCATCAGTCGCTGCTCAATGTTGTTCTATTTTCCACATGTTCCCATCTTAAGCACCGCAGTCACGGATTTCGTCGCACACAGAGTCATTCACGTTTGAACTCACGTGACTTGCTGCATGCTCTCATTCACGTCCTCCACATTCATAACCCAGCTACGTCGGGTTACTTATTACTGATATCAACCCAAATTGGGTCAAATCAAGCCAGTTTCCTAACCCAACAGTCTCAACCGAGCGTTTGGATTGAAACAGTTATACCAGCGTGTTTTATATGTGTAGGCGATAAAAAAGTACACAGTGAATGTTTTTGCTTAATCGCTTGCAAATATAAGATTGTTAGGTCATACATACCCCGTAATATTAGAATAGGTAACCCTTAGTTTCAAAATACTTACAGTAGAAATAATTTACAATTTTACAGATTTTTACTCCTTTATTCCACAAACTTCGCATATTGTTACCTTATAACTACATGGAGGTACTGAATAGGTACACCGTAATTACAAAAAAGTTACACTGGAAATTCTGTTTACTTACTCAGTACATTGCGGGTTGTAATCTAAAGCGTTACCAGTTTTTGTAGACCAAATAGATGTACTTTTCTAACAATATATTGCTTCAGATGATTCATGACCAGGCATGTGAGAGAGCCACTCTGTGCTGAACGTGCATCTATTGCAGGTTTCTAAAAAAGTATTTTAAAGTAATGTAATTTGAATTCATTCATACATGAGCTCAAATTGAAATTTCTTAGTATTGACTGATGGCCAAATGACATTTTTATTCAGGCTAGTAATGTTGTATCTCAGGGGCTTCTGGTTATCTAAATGCACCTTCAATATATGACACAATGACTCTGAAGTGAATGTAATTCTTCTCCGTATGTCCTCAGCTCAGGAGCAGTTGTGTCCTCCCACATTTGTGGTGAAGATGAGGAATTCTAGGGTTCTTGAGGGCGATGCTGTGCGGTTAGAGTGTAAGGTGGCGGCATCTCCAACACCTCAGCTCTACTGGAAGAAAGACAAGGAAATGCTGCGAATCGACCCCATGAGAACGAGGTCTGACATTTTTTTCACTTTATGTGTGGATGCAAAATGTTTTCAATATAGACTATATATTTAGCTCCCTTTCGAAACGGTCTGTCACGTTGCATGAAACGCTTCTGGGGACACTCCTGTTTACACTGAATAATGAAACCTGATTTGTTAACATTTGTGTAGCTGCACAAAAAAAAGTCATTTCAGCCCGCCACAACGGGCAGAGCCGACTGCCTATATAAGTTGCCGCCGAATGACATTTCATCAGCATTTTCTCCTTCAGCTCATCTCCTCGCTGGACTCTGAAGAAGAAGAATGGAGAAGTCTGTTTATTTGCCATATAAGAGCCCCGGCAGAGGAAAGACTATACTCTTCAGCGCTTCTCCCCTGCAGCCATCTGGCAAACTTCAGAGATAATTTCCTAGAGCAAATTTCACACCGTTGCTTCAAATGTCACGCCACGAGCGTGGCTCGTGCAGAGCACCCCTGCACGCTTCAGACAGGCACAGTGAGTGCGTCGCTTGCCTGGGCTGTTCTTACACTGAGGCTGCACTTACTGAGACAGAATGCTCTCACTGCGAGATCATGACACTGATAGCACACATACATCTCGGAGACGTCTATTTGATGTCTGCATTTACATCTGGAAGACGTATTTTTTACAGTGTCTGCTCATCTGCAATACGTCTATAAGACGTTTTCTATCAGATGTCAAATAGATGTCTACTAGATGTCTTTAAGATGTTTATGATTTAGAATGTATGTAAAATTGACATCTTACAGACGTCTATCAGATGTTTGTACACAGCAGATGCTTTCTAGATCAAGTGATCTTTAACAGACATCTTGCAGACGTATGTGTGCTATCTGGGGAGTCATCTCTCTTCACTACAGATTGCCTTCTTTCATGAGGGCAGCCCCACCCCTACCGCTCTGCCATTTCTTGCCTCAAAGGAGGAAGAAACAGAGGAGTCAGGTTACTGAGCAGGCGGTCTTGAGTGATCTCACACCAGCACAGGTCCCAAGTACTTCACTCTTCCCACAGCAATATGACTAACCAGTGCACTTCTCCCACTGACTCGTGCCATGAACGAGTCTGGCCAGAGTTCCGATGCCTTTAAAGAGCTGCGTAGAGCAACTGTGATCAGCAAAGCCATGGCCAACTTGGTGGCGCTTGAGAGCCACCTTTGGCTGAATCTCACAGAGATCAAGGACGAGGACAAAGTCACCTTCCTCGACTCCCCAGTCTCCCCCATGGAGTTACTCGCCCCTGCCATTGTTGAATTTGCAAGAAGTCGTTGCAGGTCGTTCTCCCCAAGCGCTCTAGCTTGGCAGCTGTTTCAAGTTACCAGAAGGCTACATCATCCCAACAGCCTGTGAAGCCTGCTCTGTCTCCCGCTCAGCCTCAGCCCAAAACAGAGCCTGAGCCTAAGCACCAGGGCCCCTGCTCCAAAATGACATTGGACCCTGAGCCGCAAAAGCCGTCCCGATCTCAAAACAGAGAGGAAGAGGAGAGGGTTAACAAAGAAGTCTCGCACTTGCTCTCCAGTCCCCTGTTCAGCTCTGGGTGATGGAAGCTCTGTCAGTGCTGGGCCCATCCTACCCACTCAGCATGTGCTCAAGCAAATTACCACTGTGATAGCAAACCCACTAACTCAAAAGAGCAGTTCTCCTCTACACGACAGCTCAAATGTCAGTTCCCTGCCTTCACACAATGATCTGACACTCAAAAAACTCAGACCACTTGCTGCCCGGCCAGGTTACTCACTCCAATTCACTTGAAAACCCCTCGTTTCAGAGGTGCTATTCAAACTTTGGTACAGTACAACGATGCACATGTCCTCCGATCCGAAGAACAGAGTCTGCTTGCAAAAGGTGCCATGAAGTCCGTTCCGCAAGCGAACATCAAGTCAGGCTTTTACAGACGCTACTTTCTCGTTTTCAAGAAACATGGTGGGCTCAGGCCCATCCTCAATCTCAGACACCTGAACCATGCCCTAATGAGACGCCTGTTCAGAATGTTAACTTTGAAACATATCCTCACGTAAGTATGCCCAGGGGACTGGTTTTTAATCGATGGATCTGGAAGATGCTTACATTCATAACCAGATAGCCTCTCATCACAGACCATTCTTGAGATTTGCGTTTGAGGGAGTGGTTTTTCAAAATACAGTACTGCCTTTCGAACGCTCTCTGGCCCTGTGCACTATTACAAAGTGCGTGGACGTGGTTCTCTCCCCGCTGAGGCAGATGGGAATCCGCATCATGAATTACCTTGACTATTGGCATAGTGTTAGCCAGGTCGGAGTGCAAACTCCACGCTCACAAGTCATTGCTGCTCAGCCACCTGGAGCACCTTGGGCTCTAAATCAGTTTAGCCCAGCGGGTTGCTTTCCAAGGGTCAGGAAATGTCATCCGCCGCCTCTGTGATTCCGCTGGGCTTGCTTCATATGCAGCTCCTCCAATTTTGGCTCAAAGCCAGCGTACTGTCCCACGCTTGGTGTCTGGGACACCTTTGCCTCAAGGTGAACCACCACTGCATCAGAGCTGTAGTCCCTTGAAAGTCCCCTCACCTGTACCAGGAAGGCGTCCAATTGGGATTGACCTCCAGAAGGAAGGTTGTCATGACTGATGCCTCCAACTCCGGTTAGGGAGCACTGTGCAAAGGCAGACTGGCATTTGGCTCCTGGTCCAGTGTGAAGCAACACCTACATATCAACTGCCTCAAAATTATGGTGGTTTTACTGGCCCTAAAAATGTTCCTGCCAGCCTTATGGGGGCACTATGTCCTCATCCGTTCAGATAACATGAGAGTGGTAGCCTTTATAAATCACCAGGGTGGTCTCAGGTCACAGTCCCTATACAGGATGGCAAGACACCTCCTTTTATGGGCACAGTGCAACCTGTGCTCACTGAGGGCAGTTCACATGTCGGGCAAACTGAACCAAGGAGCGGATATGATGTGCCAGGGCAATGTGTCTCCAGGGGGAAATGGAGTATACACCGCTAAGTGATTCAGGTGATTTGGAATGCCTTTGGTTGGGCAGAGGTAAACCTCTTCGCCTCAGAAGGCAACTCTCACGGCCCAACATTTTTCTCGAAGGAGCGAGATGCTCTGGCTCACGACTGGCTCCCCCAGGTCATCAGATGAGTGAGGGGGGTAGGATGCTTGGTTCTCCTGCTCTTCCCCGAGTTGATACAGCTGCTGTCGGTGAGGAAGGACCTCCTCTCCCAAGCAAGAGGGATGATTCGGCATCCCCAGCTCGAGCTGTGTAGCCTTCATGTTTGGCCCCTCGACGGGAGTCTTTACAGCTCTCCACGGGGGATAGCTAACACCATTTCGAAGGCTAGAGTCCCGTCTACGAGACTCCTCTAATCCCTCAAGTGGTCAGTGTTCTCTGTCTGGTGTGCAGTCCGGAATGAGGACCCACCCTCATGTGACGTGCCCACGGTCCTCAGGGGCCTTCGAGGTCCTCCATTTGAGCCACTCGAAGTCGGCTGACTCATGGCCCCTGTCACTTAAGACTTAAGAAGGCTTCTTGCCTTGAGTTTGGGTCTAGCGACTGTAAAGTAATCCTCAAACCAAGACATGGCTATTTGCCTAAGGTGCTCTCCACTCCATTCAGAGAACAGGTTATTACCCTTCTAGCTCTTCTGAACACAGAGGATTTTGTGCTTTTTAGCATGGCGCTATTGAACGCAGTCTGCATTAGTGTTTCACGCAAAGTGAGAGCTCGTTTTGAAGGGGAATGCTCTGGTTACTAATGTAACCTCGATTCCCTGAGATAATGGGAACGCGAGTTGTGTATACAGCCATGCTATAAAGATACACGATTCGATGACTGTCGCTTATAAGTCAAAAGATTCTGATGGAATGGCATTCAGAGCCGACTTATATAGGCAGTCTGCTCTGAAGGGCTGAAATGCCATTTTTGTTCGTGCAGCAACACGAAAGTAAACAAATCAGGCTTCAGTATTCAGTAAACAGGAGTTACCCCATAGTGTATCACACAATGTTCATTCCCGTTATCTCAGGGAACCAAGGTTATGTTAGTAACTGGAGCGATATTACATATTCAAGATATGAAGATAAAATATTTTAGACTTTTTATACACTTAAATTACAAATTTGGTCCATTTGTGTGTTTAAAGACAGTTGCAGAAAGGAATAATTCATACAAAAACAAAGATTCATTTGTTTCCTTTCCTTTCTTGTCCTGTGGAGCACAAAGGTTTTTTTGTTTGTTTTTTTAGCTGTTTTACATTATAACGTTATTTTGTTGAATGTCCTAATATCCTATTACATATGAAGAAAAACAAAAGGCACCATAACAAAAGTCCAATCCAAGAGGAAAATTCAATAAAAAAAAATGGTTATTTCACAGAAATTTCCAATATGAAATAGTCCGATTTAGACCTTACCATCTACAAACTTTCAGATACAATTTTTTTTTAACTCGTCCAGAGCACTAAAAATATATTCAGAAAAAATGTATTTAATGAAATAACACACAGAAAAAATAAATAAATAAAAGCAACAGGGCGAGAATGGTCAGGTAACATGGTTTCTGAAGAACTGAGCTTTAAAAAACACATTCCCATAGATTTTAGTTGCAGAAATGTCCATGGTAATAATACTTTAGATGGATTCTTCCATTAACTTTTTAAAAACCGATTTAACACATTATTGTCTTGGGCAGTTGTTTACAGTAAATATTTTCTTTGCTAGATGAGTTATATTGATGTAGTCATTGTAGATGTTTGCATGTCCCCGTGACGTTTGCATGTTTGGTGTGTCAGTCTTTCTCAGGACGGTTCAGGAAAGCAGTGTTTGGTCATTGATCCAGTGATAAAGTCTGATGCGGGCTGGTACACTGTATCTGCCATTAATGAAGCAGGCATGTCCACATGCAATGCCAGGCTAGACGTGGGCAGTAAGTGCACTTACTGTTTACTTTGCTTAGTATATGTTTGAAAATTGTTTAGACTTTGCTTATTCTGAAACTTTTTTTTTCTCCAAAACTTGTTTAGGCATGTTGCACTATAAAATGAACTCCATCTTTATATTGATACATAGTGTAGGAAGGTGCAACGCACAGGTTTAAATGGCAATCCAAGTTTAATTTGCCACACCTATGGATTTTTAAATTGCGATTAGTGTCGGTGTTTAGACAGTCGATGAGTTCGTTAGCTCTCATGTGGATGCACCGAGCAGATACTGAGCAGAAGAGAAGAGTCAAAAGACCTGTGCAACAAGGTCATGGAACTTTATAGAGATGGAAAAGGATATAAAAAGATATTCAAAGCCTTGAAAATGGCAGGGAGAAATACAGGCTGCTCTGGAAAAAGATGGTGTGATTGTCCAGGGAGCAAAAATATGACAATACTTGAACAAAAATGAGCTGCATGGTCGAGATGCCACAAAAAAAGCCTGGTTACAACACCTTAACTCACAGCTTCTGGCACACTGTAATCTGGAGTGACGAGACCAAAATAGAGCTTTCTGGTCAACCACAAGCGCTATATTTGGAGAGGGGTCAACAAGGCCTATGATGGTGGCTCACTCGTGTTTGGGGGGTGAGCTCTAAAGGCTTGGGGAATCTTTGAAAATTGATGGCAAGATGAATGCAGCATGTTATCAGAAAATACTGGCAGCCAATTTGCATTCTTCTGGTGGAAAGCTGTGCATGGAATGGTCTTGGACTTTCCAGCATGAGAATGACCCTATCCTCCAGTGGTTACAGCAGAAAAAGGCTTCATATGATCGAGCCACTCTGGGGAGATCTCAAAGACTTTGCATGACCTGGAGGCATTTTGCCAAGCTGAATGGGCAGCTATACCACCTGCAAGAATTTGGGGCCTTATAGACAACTATTACAAAAAGACTAGACGCGGTCATTGATGCTAAAGGGGGCAATACACTGTAATGAGAACTAAGGGTGTGGAGACTTTTGGCCAGGGGTTATTTCATTTTTTCTTTGTTGCTATGTTTTGTTTTATGATTGTGTCATTTTGTTATAACCTACAGCTGAATATGAATCGCATAAGAAATGTGTTTTGCGTGCTCGCTCATGTTTTCTTTAAAAAGGGTACATATATTATCAATACTCCAAGGGTGTGCAAACTTTTGAGCACAACTGTAGAATAGAAATAGAATAGAGTGCAAGTGTAGATGGAAGAGACGTGTCTTTAGCGTTTCTTGAAGATGGCTAAAGACTCCACCAGCAGCGAACAGTTAAGGTAAACGTCTGTGAAAGTGATTTTGTGCCTCTTTGATAATAATAATAATCAACATTGATTCAGCATATTAGAGTGATCTCTGAAGATTATGTGACACTGAAGACTGGAGTAATGATGCTGAAAATTCAGCTGTGCATCACAGAAATAAATTACATTTTACAATATATCCACATAGAAAACACTTATTTTAAAGTGCCCCTATTATGCCATGTCGAATAATGCCTTTCATTCAGTAAATGATCTGTAAATGATCTGCAAAGTTGTAAAAATGAAGTTTAGAATCGACTCTGAACAGCCGAAACAAGTCTTTAATAATTCAAATCCCACTTCCATGATGGCTACACGTCACTGGGTAACACATTTGCATAATGCTCTATTCTGCATTGGCTGGCCACAAACAACTTGACCCCGCCCACAAACGTGGAGTTCGCATTAGACCAATCACAACAGACTGGGCCATCTGACCAATCAGAGCAGAGTAGGTTCATGGAAAGGCGGGGTTTAGAGAGACTGAATCTCAGAACTGCCTCGAACTAATCGTTTGAGAATAGTTGGAAAACGAGGTGATAAATGCATATTTTGAGAAAATGTACGTGTTGTTTGGAACAATACTAGGAACCTTCAAAATGGCATAATAGGGGTACTTTAACAAATATATTTCACAATATTATGGTTTTGACTATTTTTGATCGAATAAATGCAGCCTTGATGAGAAGAGGAGACTTCATTAAAAAATGTTTTTTTTTAAATCTTATAGAGCCCAAATTTGTAAACACTAGTGTTACAGTCACCTAGAGAAATTGTCTTCTGATCCTCGCTCATCAGGATCGGCCTCGTCTGGTCGCTCGTAGCTCAGCAAATCAGAGGGAACGTCGTGGATCTGAACACTTGGAGCGTGATTTAACATCTTCAGGCTCTCAAACACTGTTTGACGAATCTGCTCCAAATACTAGAAAAACCAGGTCATGTATTGGTTACAGCTGAGTGATGACGGGGCACTGAACACCTATTTCAACGATTTCAAACCTTAAGAAATATGTGACCCTGGAGCACAAAAGCAGTCTTAAGTCGCTGGGGTATATTTGTAGCAATAGCCAATACATTGTATGGGTCAAAATTATCGATTTTTCTTTTATGCCAAAAATCATTAGGATGTTAAAGAAAGATCATGTTCCATGAAGATATTTTGTAAATTTCCTACTGTAAATATATAAAAACTTAATTTTTGATTAGTAATATGCATTGCTAAGAACTTCATTTGGACAACTTTAAAGATGATTTTCTCAATATTTAGATTTTGTTTGCACCCTCAGATTCCAGATTTTCAAATAGTTGTATCTCGTCCAAATATTGTCCGATCCTAACAAACCATACATCAATGGAAAAATGATTCATGATGACGTACAAACCTTAATTTTGAAAAACTGACACTTAGGACTGGTTTTGTGGTCCAGGGTCACATATAATACACTATAATTACTTTCACTTTTTCATATAAAATCAGAACTGTTCTATTTTGACAATGTTTCAATTTTACACTTTTTAAAACTATAACTTTAAGTTCAAGAGAGCATCTTGTGCTGCATCTGAATCTCAAGCATTTCTAATGGATTTTTCATTATGCAGCACTTCTTGGTTTTCCATTTTTCAAGATCCTCAACTTGTTATTTCCAGGTTTTAAAGAGGTTTTGAATGTGTACATGCGGACACAAATGTACTGTCAAGATTTGTAGAAAAAAAAAAAAACTATATTGTGAGGAAAATAACGCATACTTGTCTAGAATTTTGGTTTTCTATCCTTGTGCTGACATCTGGGTGAAGTGTGAAGTCTGGAGCAAAATATTCAAAGTATTCTGTGCAGAGGACAAATATAGTGACGAGGAACAGTTTTAAAGCAGTGCATTAGAGGACACTAATTCACACAAGCGCTAGATAACATGTAATAGCAAAACAAAACATCCAATACTTCTAGTTGTCTTCTCATGTGACACAGTTGCTGTCTTACCACTATATGGCAGCTCATCACTAATGGACTCCTCAACTAGTAAAGATGTTTCATATGTCCTAAAAATCAAATATATGATACATTAATGAACATATCAGAAAGAGTCAAAGATAGAAGTGTAGCACTTACAGCCAAAACAGCTTAGAAACCCAAAGTCTTAACATATGACCTCCTAAATGAACACGATCAGAGACTCGATAGAAGCGAGATAATGAGGAGGAAGTAAGAGAAATCATAGGATAATGAGCAAATCCCAACATTTGAATAGAACAGTTGTAATGCTACATTGCAGTGCAAACTGGTTTACTGTTTTTAATTTATTAGAGTGATCTCTGAAGATTATGTGACACTGAAGACTGGAGTAATGATGCTGAAAATTCAGCTGTGCATCACAGAAATAAATTACATTTTACAATATATCCACATAGAAAACACTTATTTTAAAGTGCCCCTATTATGCCATGTCGAATAATACCTTTCATTCAGTAAATGATCTGTAAATGATCTGCAAAGTTGTAAAGCTGAAAGTGCATGATAAATGAAGTTTAGAATCGACTCTGAACAGCCGAAAAAAAGTAGTTAATAATTCAAATCCCACTTCCATGATGGCTACACGTCACTGGGTAACACATTTGCATAATGCTCTATTCTGCATTGGCTGGCCACAAACAACTTGACCCCGCCCACAAACATGTCATTTTACTGACGACTGATCTCTAATCTCGTGGAGTTCACATTAGACCAATCACAACAGACTGGGCCATCTGACCAATCAGAGCAGAGTAGGTTCATGGAAAGGCGGGGTTTAGAGAGACTGAATCTCAGAACTGCCTCGAACTAATCGTTTGAGAATAGTTGGAAAACGAGGTGATAAATGCATATTTTGAGAAAATGTACGTGTTGTTTGGAACAATACTAGGAACCTTCAAAATGGCATAATAGGGGTACTTTAACAAATATATTTCACAATATTATGGTTTTGACTATTTTTGATCGAATAAATGCAGCCTTGATGAGAGGAGGAGACTTCATTAAAAAATTATTATTTTTTAAAAATCTTATAGAGCCCAAATTTGTAAACACTAGTGTTACAGTCACCTAGAGAAGTTGTCTTCTGATCCTCGCTCATCAGGATCGGCCTCGTCTGGTCGCTCGTAGCTCAGCAAATCAGAGGGAACGTCGTGGACATTAGACCAATCACAACAGACTGGGCCATCTGACCAATCAGAGCAGAGTAGGTTCATGGAAAGGCGGGGTTTAGAGAGACAATCTCAGAACTGCCTCGAACTAATCGTTTGAGAATAGTTGGAAAATGAGGTGATAAATGCATATTTTGAGAAAACGTACGTGTTGTTTGGAACAATACTAGGAACCTTCAAAATGGCATAATAGGGGTACTTTAACAAATATATTTCACAATATTATGGTTTTGACTATTTTTGATCGAATAAATGCAGCCTTGATGAGAAGAGGAGACTTCATTAAAAAATGTTTTTTTTTAAATCTTATAGAGCCCAAATTTGTAAACACTAGTGTTACAGTCACCTAGAGAAATTGTCTTCTGATCCTCGCTCATCAGGATCGGCCTCGTCTGGTCGCTCGTAGCTCAGCAAATCAGAGGGAACGTCGTGGATCTGAACACTTGGAGCGTGATTTAACATCTTCAGGCTCTCAAACACTGTTTGACGAATCTGCTCCAAATACTAGAAAAACCAGGTCATGTATTGGTTACAGCTGAGTGATGACGGGGCACTGAACACCTATTTCAACGATTTCAAACCTTAAGAAATATGTGACCCTGGAGCACAAAAGCAGTCTTAAGTCGCTGGGGTATATTTGTAGCAATAGCCAATACATTGTATGGGTCAAAATTATCGATTTTTCTTTTATGCCAAAAATCATTAGGATGTTAAAGAAAGATCATGTTCCATGAAGATATTTTGTAAATTTCCTACTGTAAATATATAAAAACTTAATTTTTGATTAGTAATATGCATTGCTAAGAACTTCATTTGGACAACTTTAAAGATGATTTTCTCAATATTTAGATTTTGTTTGCACCCTCAGATTCCAGATTTTCAAATAGTTGTATCTCGTCCAAATATTGTCCGATCCTAACAAACCATACATCAATGGAAAAATGATTCATGATGACGTACAAACCTTAATTTTGAAAAACTGACACTTAGGACTGGTTTTGTGGTCCAGGGTCACATATAATACACTATAATTACTTTCACTTTTTCATATAAAATCAGAACTGTTCTATTTTGACAATGTTTCAATTTTACACTTTTTAAAACTATAACTTTAAGTTCAAGAGAGCATCTTGTGCTGCATCTGAATCTCAAGCATTTCTAATGGATTTTTCATTATGCAGCACTTCTTGGTTTTCCATTTTTCAAGATCCTCAACTTGTTATTTCCAGGTTTTAAAGAGGTTTTGAATGTGTACATGCGGACACAAATGTACTGTCAAGATTTGTAGAAAAAAAAAAAAACTATATTGTGAGGAAAATAACGCATACTTGTCTAGAATTTTGGTTTTCTATCCTTGTGCTGACATCTGGGTGAAGTGTGAAGTCTGGAGCAAAATATTCAAAGTATTCTGTGCAGAGGACAAATATAGTGACGAGGAACAGTTTTAAAGCAGTGCATTAGAGGACACTAATTCACACAAGCGCTAGATAACATGTAATAGCAAAACAAAACATCCAATACTTCTAGTTGTCTTCTCATGTGACACAGTTGCTGTCTTACCACTATATGGCAGCTCATCACTAATGGACTCCTCAACTAGTAAAGATGTTTCATATGTCCTAAAAATCAAATATATGATACATTAATGAACATATCAGAAAGAGTCAAAGATAGAAGTGTAGCACTTACAGCCAAAACAGCTTAGAAACCCAAAGTCTTAACATATGACCTCCTAAATGAACACGATCAGAGACTCGATAGAAGCGAGATAATGAGGAGGAAGTAAGAGAAATCATAGGATAATGAGCAAATCCCAACATTTGAATAGAACAGTTGTAATGCTACATTGCAGTGCAAACTGGTTTACTGTTTTTAATTAGTGATGCACCAACATTACAGACAAGTTTTTAGTTCTAAGTGAGAGTAAGTGATTCTCATAATGCAATAATGACCATATTGTTCCTTGCTGTGGTTGAAAATAACTTGTATTACAGTAAAGATTTGTCATATCACTGTTTAAACAGGAAGCTGCTAGAAAGTGGCAAGTGATGCAAAGATACAAGTTTAACTGGATCATTAGACCAATCACAACAGACTGGGCCATCTGACCAATCAGAGCAGAGTAGGTTCATGGAAAGGCGGGGTTTAGAGAGACAATCTCAGAACTGCCTCGAACTAATCGTTTGAGAATAGTTGGAAAATGAGGTGATAAATGCATATTTTGAGAAAACGTACGTGTTGTTTGGAACAATACTAGGAACCTTCAAAATGGCATAATAGGGGTACTTTAACAAATATATTTCACAATATTATGGTTTTGACTATTTTTGATCGAATAAATGCAGCCTTGATGAGAGGAGGAGACTTCATTAAAAAATTATTATTTTTTAAAAATCTTATAGAGCCCAAATTTGTAAACACTAGTGTTACAGTCACCTAGAGAAGTTGTCTTCTGATCCTCGCTCATCAGGATCGGCCTCGTCTGGTCGCTCGTAGCTCAGCAAATCAGAGGGAACGTCGTGGATCTGAACACTTGGAGCGTGATTTAACATCTTCAGGCTCTCAAACACTGTTTGACGAATCTGCTCCAAATACTAGAAAAACCAGGTCATGTATTGGTTACAGCTGAGTGATGACGGGGCACTGAACACCTATTTCAACGATTTCAAACCTTAAGAAATATGTGACCCTGGAGCACAAAAGCAGTCTTAAGTCGCTGGGGTATATTTGTAGCAATAGCCAATACATTGTATGGGTCAAAATTATCGATTTTTCTTTTATGCCAAAAATCATTAGGATGTTAAAGAAAGATCATGTTCCATGAAGATATTTTGTAAATTTCCTACTGTAAATATATAAAAACTTAATTTTTGATTAGTAATATGCATTGCTAAGAACTTCATTTGGACAACTTTAAAGATGATTTTCTCAATATTTAGATTTTGTTTGCACCCTCAGATTCCAGATTTTCAAATAGTTGTATCTCGTCCAAATATTGTCCGATCCTAACAAACCATACATCAATGGAAAAATGATTCATGATGACGTACAAACCTTAATTTTGAAAAACTGACACTTAGGACTGGTTTTGTGGTCCAGGGTCACATATAATACACTATAATTACTTTCACTTTTTCATATAAAATCAGAACTGTTCTATTTTGACAATGTTTCAATTTTACACTTTTTAAAACTATAACTTTAAGTTCAAGAGAGCATCTTGTGCTGCATCTGAATCTCAAGCATTTCTAATGGATTTTTCATTATGCAGCACTTCTTGGTTTTCCATTTTTCAAGATCCTCAACTTGTTATTTCCAGGTTTTAAAGAGGTTTTGAATGTGTACATGCGGACACAAATGTACTGTCAAGATTTGTAGAAAAAAAAAAAAACTATATTGTGAGGAAAATAACGCATACTTGTCTAGAATTTTGGTTTTCTATCCTTGTGCTGACATCTGGGTGAAGTGTGAAGTCTGGAGCAAAATATTCAAAGTATTCTGTGCAGAGGACAAATATAGTGACGAGGAACAGTTTTAAAGCAGTGCATTAGAGGACACTAATTCACACAAGCGCTAGATAACATGTAATAGCAAAACAAAACATCCAATACTTCTAGTTGTCTTCTCATGTGACACAGTTGCTGTCTTACCACTATATGGCAGCTCATCACTAATGGACTCCTCAACTAGTAAAGATGTTTCATATGTCCTAAAAATCAAATATATGATACATTAATGAACATATCAGAAAGAGTCAAAGATAGAAGTGTAGCACTTACAGCCAAAACAGCTTAGAAACCCAAAGTCTTAACATATGACCTCCTAAATGAACACGATCAGAGACTCGATAGAAGCGAGATAATGAGGAGGAAGTAAGAGAAATCATAGGATAATGAGCAAATCCCAACATTTGAATAGAACAGTTGTAATGCTACATTGCAGTGCAAACTGGTTTACTGTTTTTAATTAGTGATGCACCAACATTACAGACAAGTTTTTAGTTCTAAGTGAGAGTAAGTGATTCTCATAATGCAATAATGACCATATTGTTCCTTGCTGTGGTTGAAAATAACTTGTATTACAGTAAAGATTTGTCATATCACTGTTTAAACAGGAAGCTGCTAGAAAGTGGCAAGTGATGCAAAGATACAAGTTTAACTGGATCTAATAAAATGTTTTGCCAAAGGCAATGCATTTTCATTTTGGTAATTAAGACTTTGCAAAGAGGCTATCATTATTAAAAATGTAACTGTACATGACAACAAAACCAAAGCCTATGTGTCAGTGACAGAACTATACTGTTGCTCATTTCACATCAAGACTGAAAAAATAACATTGTAATTGGACCTCAGAGATGCAAAAAAATTATGATATGACCCCTTTAAAGAAGTTTCCTTTATTATACAACTACTTCCTCTTCTGATGATTTATAGTGAACTGAGCAGTGAAATGATAAACATACCAGCATCTAGCAACGTTTCTCACAGTGTATCCTCCTCCACCCAGAACAAGCAGCGGGATTTTGAAGCTCTTCACAAACTCCACACAATCTCTACAAGTACAAGTGTTTAAACAAGATTAGCAAGGGTTTCAAAATACTGCGTGCAGGTGAAGAAAAGATGACGGTGTTAGATTATGGAGTAGTTTTTTTTTGTTTGTTTTTTTTACCCATGTCCACGTATGCTGAGATTGAAGCATCCTAATCGATCACAGCCCAGAGAATCAGCTCCACACTGCAGACAAAGCACAGAGATGAGCAACAAAACCCCAGCAGATCCAGACCAACGGAGAGCGTGATCTCACCTGGAGAACAACGCAGGTGGGCTGATAGAAGTCCACCACCTGCTTGATAACCGGCTGAAACAGGTGTCTGTAGCCTGAGAACATCAAAACAAACAATCCTCATGTCACTTCACTTCTCATGTAAATAGATCTTAAAATAACAAGTCTCATTTTCTGGGAATTTGATCAAAAGGATGTCTATGATTAAAACAAGAACAAGCTCAGAAAAATCAACTTAATTCAAAGGGAAAACACGTTTTCATTCACCAGTGACAGATATTTGTTCTTGTTTTAAGCATGAACTCATTTCGTTCAATTCAATGAAAATTCAAGACTTCGTTTCACATTCGGATTTCAAGTAAATGTATCCTGATTCAAGGATGTTTAGATCATTGTACTGGAAAACAAAAATACAGAAGAAGTCATTCGCCAACATTTAATGCCATGACTCTATGAGTTAAAAGGCCCGTTCACACCAAGGACGATAGCTATGAAGATAACAATAAAGATATAGTTCTAAAAATCGTTCTCAATATTAAAGAATAGCAGAGTCCACACCACAGCTATAACGATAAAGACAAAGAGAAACGATATCAAAAACTTTCAAAACGATTTTTCTCCAGCTGATTAACGATAAAAAAAAATTGACAGCCAATCAGAATCCATCCTGCTGTAACGAGCTCGAGAATTTAAAGCGGCAGACGCACGTGCGCTTAGAATAAACAGATGATATCGTTCTTGGTGTGAACGGGGCTAAAGACTTTCTGCTCTGATTTAAGACTTTTTTTCATGTCTTAAAAAGTGTGGAAGGGTGAATCAAGACTTTAAGACCTTTTTAAGGCCAGCAGAAACCCTGAATATTTACACTGCTCCAAAAGCAGGTTGTGTTCAGAGAATAATAGCTACTTGCATAACCTGAAAATTACTCATGCGGTTGAACTGATATCTTTGACCATATGCCACCCAGTACAACAACAGTATATAACTTAACTATTACAATTACATGGCTACGCTTTGGAAGATTAATCATACAGGTGCATCTCAATAAATTAGAATGTCATGGAAAAGTTCATTTATTTCAGTAATTCAACTCAAATGGTGAAACTCGTGTATTAAATAAATTCAATGCACACAGACTGAAGTAGTTTAAGTCTTTGGTTCTTTTAATTGTGATGATTTTGGCTCACATTTAACAAAAACCCACCAATTCACTATCTCAACAAATTAGAACATGGTGACATGCCAATTAGGTAATCAACTCTAAACACCTGCAAAGGTTTCCTGAGCCTTCAAATGGTCTCTCAGTTTGGTTCACTAGGCTACACAATCATGGGGAAGACTGCTGATCTGACAGTTGTCCAGAAGACAATCATTGACACCCTTCACAAGGAGGGTAAGCCACAAACATTCATTGCCAAAGAAGCTGGCTGTTCACAGAGTGCTGTATCCAAGCATGTTAACAGAAAGTTGAGTGGAAGGAAAAAGTGTGGAAGAAAAAGATGCACAACCAACCGAGAGAACTGCAGCCTTATTAGGATTGTCAAGCAAAATTGATTCAAGAATTTGAGTGAACATCACAAGGAATGGACTGAGGCTGGGGTCAAGGCATCAAGAGCCACCATACACAGACATGTCAAGGAATTTGGCTACAGTTGTCGTATTCCTCTTGTTAAGCCCCTCCTGAACCACAGACAATGTCAGAGGCGTCTTACCTGGGCTAAGGAGAAGAAGAACTGGACTGTTGCCCAGTGGTCCAAAGTCCTCTTTTCAGATGAGAGCAAGTTTGGTATTTCAGAATCAGAATCAGAAGAGCTTTATTACCAAGTATGTTTACACACACAAGGAATTTGACTTGACGACAGGAGCTTCCAGTGTAGAAGAAAGTACAAACATAGTGCAGACATACATTGGAATAACACAGTAGGAATGTAATATAACACTAATATAATTAAAAAAAGACAAATTGAATAATGTACTATATACAGAAATAGAAGTATAGGAAAATTAACAGAATTAACAGGATGGCGCCGCAAATGGCAGCCAGGACGCTGAGCTCCGCGATTCTTCTATTGTTTTTGTTTGTTTGTTCTGTGTTTTGTCATTCTTCTTCTATAAGTTTTACCAGAGACGAACTCCTTAACATTAAGCAGCACACCCCAGACAATATTTTTCCGGTTTTTGATTATTCAGACGTTTTGTTGGACATTCTAGTTAGTCGGAGGTACAGCTGTGTTGTTCAAACGTGCGTGCAGAAGACGCAGACGCCCTGGTGAAGCTCCGCGCGCACGCGGCATTCGGACTGTGCTCCCAAGCATTCATCTCGCGAATGTCCGTTCCCTTATTAACAAAACGGATGAACTTCTTCTCCTCACCCGCACCAACAAGGACTTTTCAAACTCTGCTGCACTGTGCTTCACTGAAAGCTGGCTGAGTGAAGCCATTCCGGACAACGCGCTTCATCTGCCGGGCTACCAGCTGTTCAGAGCGGATCGCATCGCGGAGTTAACGGGGAAAACCTGGAGTTATGGACTGTGTTTCTACATCAACGAACGTTGGTGTTCAGATGTAACAACGCAGAAAAAGGTATGCTGTCCTAATTTAGAGGCACTCATCATAAACTGTAAACCTTTCTACTCACCATGGGAGTTTTCCTCTTTCATTCTTATGAACGTGTACGTGCCTCCGGACGCGTGCGTGAGCGCCGCGATGCAACAGCTGGCTTGAAGTCCAGTGTTAAGTTTCCACAGTTTGTGATGATTTGGGGTGCAATGTCATCTGCTGGTGTTGGTCCATTGTGTTTTTTGAAAACCAACGTCACTGCACCCGTTTACCAAGACATTTTGGAATACAGAATCTATGGGCTATTGTCAAGAGGAAAATGAGAAACAAGAGACCAAAAAATGCAGATGAGCTGAAGGCCACTGTCAAAGAAACCTGGGCTTCCATACCACCTCAGCAGTGCCACAAACTGATCACCTCCATGCCACGCCAAATTGAGGCAGTAATTAAAGCAAAAGGAGCCCCTACCAAGTATTGAGTACATGTACAGTAAATGAACATACTTTCCAGAAGGTCAACAATTCACTAAAATGTTTTTTTATTGGTCTTATGAAGTATTCTAATTTGTTGAGATAGTGAATTGGTGGGTTTTTCTTAAATGTTAGCCAAAATCATCACAATTAAAAGAACCAAAGACTTAAACTACTTCAGTCTGTGTGCATTTAATTTATTTAATACACGAGTTTCACAATTTGAGTTGAATTACTGAAATAAATGAACTTTTCCACGACATTCTAATTTATTGAGATGCACCTGTATATAGACTCATATGAATATTAGAGTGTAAATCAACTCACTCTGGTCATCTATACCATCTCGCAGCGGGACATTCAAGCAGTAGTAGCGGCCGCTCTCAGCTCCCACCTCATACATATCACCTTCATATCAACACACAACAGCACCACTTACTATCATTACCATGCTTTATCAATAGTCTGTATGTTTGTGAAGATCAAGCTCCTTTTTTTAAAAATGTATGTATTATTAGTATGTACTAGTACTATTTTTTTGCTTGTTTGTTTTTCCAGACAGTAGGAACAACATACCAGTTCCTGGGAAAAAGTAGTTCCCGTATTTGTGGAAGGATACAGTCATGACTCTGTCTGTGAGATAAAACGCTTCCTGAACACCATCACCGTGATGAATATCAATGTCAATGTAGAGCACGCGTGGATGATACCTATCAGACACAAACAGTAGAGATAAACATTATAGTCAACATGTCCTGCTAATTATATAACTATGGATGTAGGTTTAATGAGGTCATATTAAAAGAACGGAATATCTGCACCACTAGCATCACCAAACAAAATTGCAAATATAAAGTTATTTTTTATTCATTCATTCATCAACTATTTAAATTAATTCCAAAAAAGCTAAAATGCGATTAAAATACATTCATAAATGCGTTCATATATGTGACCCTGGAGCACAAAAGCAGTCTTAAGTCGCTGGGGTATATTTGTAGCGATAGCCAACAATACATTGTATGGGTCAAAATTATTGATTTTTCTTTTATGCCAAAAATCGTTAGGATATTCAGTAAAGATCATGTTCCATGAAGATATTTTGTAAAATTCCTACTGTACCTCTCTCAAACGCTTAGTTTTCTACAAAGTCCCTCCTTCCGACAAGCGCAGTCTGCTCTGATTGGCCAGCTGACCCAGTGCATTGTGATTGGCCGAACACCGCAAGCACTTCCGAAAGAGGAAGAGAGTCTCCACAGATACAGTGATGAAGCTGGTATGTGTTTGCAGTATACAAGCCCCGGTTAAGACAGCTGACTTCACAGTGATCTCGCTCTCTCGCTCTCTCGCTCTCTCTCACACACACACAGAAGGCCAAATAAAGTGCTTTTGCCAGAAACACACAGCGTCTCCCTGACATGGCTGCTTCAACACTAACTGCGGTTACTGAAACCACGCCTTCTTTCTTTGCATGCACATGTGGGCGCATTATGCAAACATTTCCACATAGTGAGGTAGATATGTGGGGGCGTGTTAGAACGAGCCGTTTTAGGGGGGCGTGGCAGAGTCTTAACTTTGATAAAGAATATCTCTTTGGTCTTGAGACTTTAGTCTTTGCAACTTCAGGGATCTTATCTATGCACAATCAGCTTGTAACACTCCAAAGAGAAAGGAAAACTTGAAATCGCATCATATGACCCCTTTAAATCTTCCAAGAGGTGCCTAGTTACACACAAAATACTACATGTCCTACTAGACACAAAAGGTTTAAAACAGGATACTGAGTGCTCAATATTGCTACTCTTAACATTAAATACAAGTCTTATATTGATGAAAGTCCTCCTCGGCTATGTTTATTCACACTGCAACAATAACCTCCTGAATTCGATTTTGTTTTTCCTCCAATAACAACAAAATGAACACAAAAACCATTTTATTTTTTTGTTTTTAAACTAGCATTTCCGAAAGTGTTGACACATTTAAAGAGAATTCGACGGGGCAGTTCTGAATGAAGCTGCTCCTTTATACATTAGTCGTATATAACGTTAGGTGTATTATATGAAGTGCAATGCAGAATAAAAGAGCTTTGTTTCCTGCTGTATAGTGCACTGCTGTGGTCAGCAAACAGCCCGATGCTCGTCTCTAAACATGTCAACAGTGAGGATCCGGAGGGAAGTCACTGATTAGCTTTTCCAGGGAGCCAAGCGGGATCCTCTTCACAGCGAGCGGGACACTAAAGGAGTTGGGTTTTTTAACGACCGCGTTTCGACTTCAGCAAATCAGTTTGAGCGAATGCAAACAACGTGATTCCAACATCCAGCCACGCAAGAAAACGTGCATTTTACCTGAAGACGTGATCAATAAGGAAAGTCGTATTTACATTTATGTAACTTTCAGCGGATTCTTAAACTTGAATATTATTCTTAAAGCACAAAATGACCAATGAGGTGTCAAGCACCCAAAGCAGTACATATTTATTCTAGAAGTTCTCTTTAATTGAAAAATATGCATTTTCATACTGTAGTAGGCCTACTGTATATTACACACACGTATCAGAAGTCAGAAAGAGCTTTATTGCCAAGTATGTTTACACATACAAGGAATCTGTTTTAGTGTCACAAGCTTCCAGTACACGGAGACAACAACAACACACACAGACAATAAAAATAAGATGTGAATAAAATACATGTATAAATATAAATAAAGCACACACACACACATATACACACAAAGGATAAATATGTACAGGTGTGCTAGTGCTATAGATAAAATACTGTAGAATATGAATAGAATAAAAATTTAAAGTTGTAGGGATGTACAAGTATGTAAAGAGATAAATAGTAACGTTATAAGGTTATTGCACATATTTGTATTGCACAATGGGAGAATATTTAACTGTTCATGAGGTAGATTGCCTATTGCCTATATATATATATATATATTTGTATTGCACAATGGGAGAACATTTAACTGTTCATGAGGTAGATTGCCTTTTGCCTATATATATATATATATGAATATATACACTGCCGTTCAAAAGTTTGGGATCAGTAAGATTTTTTATGTTTTTTAAAGAGGTTATGCTGCTCATCAAGCCTGCATTTATTTGATCAAAAATACAGAAAAAAACTGTCATTTTGTGAAATAGCCTATTATTGCAATTTAACAAAGCCATTTTCTATTTTAATATACTTTAAAATATAATTTATTCCTGTGAAGCAAAGCTGAATATTCAGCATCATTATTCCAGATTTTAGTGTCACACGATCTTCAGAAATCATTCTAATATATGCTGATTTATTATCAGTGCTGGAAACTGTTGTGTTGCTTAATATTTTTTGGGGCCTGTGATATTATTTCCGGATTCTTTGATAAATAAAAGGTTAAAAAGAACAGTATTTATTCAAAATGGAAATTGTGTTAAATATACACAACTATTCAAAAAAAAAAAAAAGTTTGGGGTCAGTACATTTATTTTTTTCTTCTTCTTTTAAAAGAAACTTTTAGAATACTTTTATTCAGCAAGGATGTGTTAAATGGATAAAAAGTGATATTGTTAGAAAAGATTTTGAATATTATTCAGCAAGGATGTGTTAAATGGATAAAAAGTGATATTGTTAGAAAAGATTTCTATTTTGAATTAATTCTGTTCTTTTTAACTTTTTATTTTGTTTATGAAACAGGTTCCAAAAAAATATGAAGCAGCACAACAGTTTCAACACTGATAATAAATCAGAATAAGAATGATTTATAAAAGGATCATGTGACACCGAGGACTGGAGTAATGATGCTGAAAATTCAGTGCTGCGTCACAGAAATAAATTAGATTTTAAGATAGGAAACCAATATTAGAAACTGCCATAATATTTAACAATATTACTGTTTTTTTCTGTATTTTTGATCAAATAAATACAGCATTGATCAGCAGAAGAGACTCCATTTAAAAGAACATTACAAATCTAAAAGATATACCTCTGTCTGTCTGTCTGTCTGTCTGTGTGTGTGTGTGT